AATAAAAAATATATATCTATCATTATCGAAATTAAATACATCCCTAATACAGATTTTATAATATAATTCAAAAAAATATATATTTAATTCAATTACCAAAGCTTAATTCAAAATTAAAGCCGAAATAAATTTACAATTAATTAATTTGATAAGTATAAATATATATATATATATATTCAATAATAAATATATATAATACTAATTTTCTATATGTTCAAATTATGATAAATATATTTTAAAAAGAATTAAATAGGATTCACGAATCCGAATGCCAATACGTATTCGAAAATAATTCCCAGATAATTTTTGACATTATAAAGCACTCTTGTGGAGTACTTTCGTAGGACACTTTTATGGGACACTCTTGCAGGACTCTATAGAACACTCTTGTGGGGCACTGCTACTAAAATCTTCAAAAATCAACCGTCACATCTCCAAAACGAGCGTTTCGTACGAGACTTCCTCCAAAGGCCACACGTCAAGACTGCAAAACGAGCATTTCGCACGAGACTTCCTCAAAAACTCACGCTTCGAGTCTGCAAAACGAGCATTTCGTACCAGACTTCCTCCAGAAGTCACATGTCAAAGTCTTCAAAAGAGCACTTCGTACGAGACTTCCTCCAAAAGTCAAGCGGGAACCCCCATCGGCACATGCATCAAGCAACCCTGCCAAGCAGTTTCGTGGTTCCAGCCCAGTAGCAGACATGGCAAAAACCTCTCCAAGCCAAGAGCAACAAATAACATCAAATAACGCCACTGCGGCTTCCACAAACCCGAGAAGCAGGACACCAGGTACAGACCTAGCAGCTGTCAACGATAGATTAGTACAGACTTCAGATTTGGTGATGTGTAATGAGTTCTGATTGACACCTGCGGATTACACAGGAGAACAGTGATTAGATGTAATATGATGTAATTAGTCAAATGTCGTCAACAATACCTCACCCAGCAATCGTCACCCAACAACGGACTCTTGAAGCAGCTACCAGCAAGCCTCGGTGATCCTTTTGTGGGGCACCGGCAAGTGTTATTGCTGTTTCCGCCATGGGGACCACGCTTTCCGGCGAAAAGGCCATAAAGCCGCAAAAGATGCGAGGCTCCCGCAATCCGGCACCCCCAAATAATATGTACCCCAAATAGATTCGGCCTGTGGTAGGCACACCTTTTTCATCCTTTTTCGGGTCTGCAGCATCACACAAATGAAGCCTGCATTCGGTGAACTGAAGGGAGAAAGGAGAAAATCAAACACACTGACACACCCGATCTTTCGGGTAAGGATTCAATTGATTCCACTAACCCAAATGCTTCAACCACAAGAATACTCTCCCTGCGACTAACATGGAAGTGGAAAATGGCCTCCGGAAAGACCGTTTTCCTTTACAAACAGGGCTTTTCCCACTTCCACGATAGTTCTAGGGAGAGTAACGCAAGCTATATACGCTATGTATCTTAAGAAAATCCTGTGTATGTACAAGTCTGCAACTCATTTCTATGAGTAGCTGCAAAGGGGTACCAGTGCGCTCCTGTACCACAGAATCATCCTGTAAGTTCCGAGGCTCTTTCCCTTTTGAATGTTTGGCCATTTTGAGGGCCATTTGGGTCTCTACCAGGTGTCTAGAGTCCAGATGAATCAAACGGTTTGCACATGGTATTTTACCATGGTAAATCCATGGTATATGGGGGACAGTTTGAAATATAGTCAAAAAGGTTCCAAGAGTCCAAGGAATCGGTTCTCCCTAGACTCGTTTGTTCCTGGCACTCCTTGAGACTCTGAGGGCCCCAGCTGGGCCCAGACTGGTCCAGGGCCCAGCTGTCTTGCTGTCCTTTTTGCTGGTCGACATCCGGTGAGAGGTCAAAAGCACTGCGGCTTCGGTGTCCATGATCAAACTCGTTTTTGCGGGGTCCCAGAACATGAGGCCTTCTCCTCATAAAGCCTGCATTGGCGAAGCGGCCAGTCCGGTTTTCTGGGACTTTCACGGCCAAATATGGCCAACACTTTGCATCTTTAGGAGGTTTTCTCTTGCTGCCAAATGGCAACGCTCCATTGTTTTGATCTGACCTGCTTTTGGCTGTCCTTTGCTTGTATTCCCACAAAGTGTAATCAGAAGCCAATGCTTCTCTATATCATGAGGTGTCATGAGGTGTTTGGATCCCAAATTGGATCCCCCAACATCCGCTACACCCTGCAAACCCGCGCCGCCGTGCCCGACTGGGCCCAGCCGCCCTGGTGGCCTCAAGGACCCGCTTGGCTAGATAGAGCAGCTTCGCTTCGCTTCGAGAAGCGTGCCTCAAGCGGCAAGCATCTACACCGCAAATGACCTCTAGATCAGGGTCTCTGAAACGAACTATAGGAATCGAAGACCCAAAATAAATCAACATCATGTGTCTTGGGGCATGTGTGAGTCGCGTGCGTGAGGCTGGGCAACTTGCGCTACGCTGAATTCCGCTGCACACCAGGACCTTTCTTTTGACATTTGGTGCGTGGTCGACAAATGATCGTTTTTCCACGAAAACACCGGGCGGTGCCCGAACTTCGTCCATCAAAGCTCCAACCACCGGTGCCGCAGGCGCGTCTTCTTTTTGGGTCCACGCCGCATGTCGCCTGGTGGCAGGCGGGAAGGCACAACGCCGGCGCAGCAGGGTGGCTTCACCTTTGGTGAAGCCACTTGGGTGGAGCCACTGGGGCTGTCAAGGGTCACCCTTGAAGCAACAAGGACCATCTGCTATTCAGCGAGTGTTCTGTTGGGATATCTTCCGAGCCATACGCTCCTCACATGTTCTTCGTCAGTTCGGATGACGCCTCACCTCGGATGCTGCCAACTTTGGGCGCAGGGAACTACATCTCCAGCTATCCTGCTACTCCTCACTCTACATCTACGGACTGTGATTGGTGGGTTTCTCCTTGTTTTTCTGTATTGCCCATCTGGGGTGGCCTTCTTAGATGGGAGTGGCCCGGAGTCTGTGGCAAAGCAAGCAAAGCAAGGAGCTCTGGATTCCGACCACGCTGGATTCCGACGAAAGTTCGCCTCATATGATGCCAACTTTGGGCAATAAAATTCCAAGCAAATACCCTCGTGCGCCTCAAACTAGATCTACGACCTACTGTGATTGGTGCATTTGTTCTGTCTCTCGTGACTTTATTGGGCAAAAGGTGGACCGTTTTTTTTGGTACACAAAGGTCAAGAGCACTGGATTTCGACGACAAAGAATTCATTCCGACGAATCGGAGCAAGATGTCTCAGGTGATGCCAACTTTGGACTAACAAAGAATGAAACACTGCTGCCGATGTTCAGGCTCCTGTGCAAGACATTTTTTCGTGCCGAATGTGCTCAAGAGATGAAGACAGGGATGTCTTCTGGATACATAACATGGATGGCAAGAAAACACCCTTTGAATCAAGATGAAGCAAGAATCACGGAAACACCAAATGGGGTGTCAGCCAAAGTCTCCTTTTGTTAGAGCTATTCTGCTTTTTTTGGTATCAACAAGTTAATTGAACCCCCCTGAAGGTTCACCGGTCCACTGGAGACTATGACGGTCCAGCTCGTTCGTTTGTCGACACGGTCCTCCTCAGGCTCAGCGGGTGGCTCACGCTCCAACTTTCATGGCACCTTCTGCTCGTCCTCTGAACGAAGAAGGGCTACACTCACCCCCAAGCTCGAATAGAAGCAGATGGCACGGCCCCGAGTTCAGAAGACCATGTTCCGACTATAGCAAACCGGTGGTTTCCACCTCCATGATGTTTCCGAGTGTATACCTGTTGAAGTGGTCGCAAAAAATAAATCACTTCTTCCAGATAATGTTTCGGGGGGGATTAGGGGGATTGCTTTTTTCCATATATACACACACACTTGCATTTCACTTCAGGGTCATTAGAAGGAAACCATCCAGATTTGGCTGCGGGAATCTCATGATGGTCAGTCGTTTGCTGACACAGTCTGAAGATCATAGAAGAGGGTTCCTTGTCCAGGCGAAAAGTTTCTGAGTCAACGACTCATACCTCCGGTCCTTTACATCATCCAGCTCCACGATGTAAACGAGGGCGAAGGCGTTCAAAACGAAGTCTACCATACCACCCCTGCAAAGCCACAAAGGTAAGGTATAAACGATGATGGCCTCAAGCACCGAATCGATCAGGGACCGAAACGTGCGCGGTGCAAACTGGGGGTGGCTGAAGCAGACTCCGAATCCAAGGATGGACGATAATGGCCTCGCCCATATCGTCAGTGAGTACTTAACCTACCCTCGCCGAATGGGTAGGTTATGGACGATAAGGGTCATGTACTTCACCTATACCCACCCGATTCATCCCTTTGGCACGGCGACATCGAGGACATACCCCCAATGGGAAGCAGCCACGCTCTTCGTGCACGAGCGGTTCGAGCCAAGAGAAGACCGGTGGCTCCACTCTGCGTTGCGGAACAAAACGCGCACTGCCCGGTGGGCATATATGTTCTACCTGCATCCAGAGGGGTGGATCGTTGCATCCGAAAGACATGCGGGTGCAAGAGTTCCACATACGAGTTGTACGATGTCTGCAGAGCGTGTGGACTCCGTGGACGTGACGCTTTAGACGGGTGGTTGCGCAGCATGAAGAGGAAAAGGCGTACGGCATTCTTGCACGGCGCAGTCTTCTTTGAGCAAATCAAATAGCTTCGTAGTTGCAATGTATATTATTATATAGGATACGATATGAAAAAACACCAGGATACGTCTATATAATATAAGTCATGTAAGGAACATATATAGAACTTCTGGGCATGCCCAGAACGACGCGCCTTGTACAAACCGCTGGAAACGTAGGACATCACAAAACGGAAGAAAATGCATGGCCGCCTCCACCATCCGTACACCACCTGTATCGTGGGCGTTGAACTGGGAACCCCAGCGGTGAGACCCACCCACTTTCCACACAAACGAGCGCCAATCTTGAAGGTTGAAGGGATATCTTAATAATTTCTCAACAATTGTCACGTACAAAGGTGTGAAGATTAGTTGGTTAACAGTGCAACATCTTGTTTCTGCAAGATTGAGCCGCAGTTCTTGATGGTTTCAATCCACAACCAGCGACGATCCACCGCCGAAAACATGGTGCTTTCCCATGGCTCACCTTGGCTTCGGCCTCGGCCTCCCGCGTGATACTGCTGTTCCAGCGTCGAGCCGACAGGTGCAAGCCCCACATTTCTCGATTTTCAGGCGTCACCATGCAACAGGCCCAGCGTAGCCAATGCCGCAGGAGCTGTGCATCTGAATGTTCCTCAAGAAACCGGGTTGCAACAAGTTCACATTCTGTTCCTGGTCCAACTCTGGCGATGGTTTCAACAAAAACGACGCGTCCCGTCCAACTGATGCACTTTCAAGCAGCAGAAAACGTTATCCAACTGATGCATGAGCTTGCTATTTGCATACTTTCGGCCTGGCCGCGTGGCCTTTGATCATCCTGTGGATCCACCTGTTTGTAGAGGAAAAAGGTCTTCCCAGTGGCCAGGACATCCATTTCCATGTTAGTGAGTGGGAGTGTACAGTGGTTTCAGAGGCAAACAAGTGGCACCCCAAGATGTCTTGTCGACAGTCAGTTCCAGTTCCAGTTCGACATCCATTTCCAGATCCATTTCCAAAGTGGTGCGAGCTGTCTCAGGGGTGGTGGCAGCAGTTCTAGATCCAGTTCCAATCTCAAGTTCAGTTCGAAAGTGGCGTTCACTGTCCACGGGGTGGGGGGGGGCAGTTCCAGTTCTGATTCAGGTCCACTTCCAGTGGTCATGTCAAGTCCTTCCATGAAATTCTTATTACTGTACCAGATAGCGTGAGCTATTGGGGTTCATACTTCAGGTATAGGAAGAGCTGCGTGTGTGTGCATTTGCGAGCTTGTGTGTGTGCGCTTGGGAGTGCTGGTGCCGTTGCAGGATGCCGCTGCTGTGCTGCGCCCTTGGGAGCTTGGGCTGGTGCCGCTGCTGTGTGCGCTTGGGGGCCGCAGGGCGCCGCTGCTGTGCGCGCTTGGGTGCCGCTGGGGCGTCGCTACCTTGCTGCTGCAGAGTGCCTCTGCAGCGTGCTGCTGGTGCTGCCGGAAGAATCTGTTTGCTATCTGGGGTCTATGCGGGGCTGGCGTAAATTTTTGGTGGGGGGAGATCCAGTCCAGATCCAATTTCAATTTTCATTTCAGTTGCTGTGAAGATGTTTTTGTTTCGGTGGGGGCGTGGGAGAAGATCCAGTTCCAGATCCACTTCCAGACCCAATTCCAATCGTCATTTCAATGCTTTCGAATTCTTTTTAGGGTGGGGGGGATCCAGTTCCAAAATCCAATTCCGTTCCAGTTCTAGATTCAGGTCTATTCCAGATCTAGTTGTGATTCCAGTTCCTCTGATAAAACAAATAGTTTTTTTTGAAGGGGGTGGAGTTCCAATCCCAGTTCCAGCGGGGAACACTATGCTCTGTGATAAAAACCTTCAGTTTTGGAATAAAAACATTCCGTTTAGCTGCGGTCATGGTCGGGTTTACTTCTTCTAAAGGGCTTTGGTTTCGGTTTTTTAGGCGAAAAACCGCCGAAGGTTTATCCTGCCTCTTGGGATGTTAATTATATTAAACTAAACCCGGAGGCTGTGGCAGTGCACGACTGCCAGGGCCTCCGTCCCATGCTGCCTTTTTTTGGAACAGGGTACCTGTTCTAGGAGCCATCCATCACACTTGAACTTTTGCTCATGACCTGGGCCTCGTTTGAGATCCGGCGTTCGTTCAAAGTCAAGCATCTGGCGTTTTCTTGGCGCCGTGCTCGTCACCTCGTGCCAGCTCGACGCGTCGGGTGTTTTTGAGTGTGGGGTGCAATTTTGGGATGGTGAAGGGGGTGTTCCTCATAGTTTGGTTTTGGTAGGTAGGTTGCCTTTGGCCGAAATAAGGAGTGCCCAAATATCTAAATCCGATTCCTTGAATTCTGACACAAAAAGCGACCAGGACGTAAGAAATTCTAAAAATAGCAATGTTTTGGTCGCAGCAAGGGTCGTGTCATTTCCCCTACACCTCTTGTCCGGCCTTCACTCTCGAAATCGGAGGCCAGATCGGTCGCCTGATGCTCACACAGCTGCAGCTGGCCTGAGGAGCTACAGATCACTCTCTTGTCAGCACAAAAGGGGGGTGAGTCTCCATGTGCAAGGCTCCAACTGCTGTGCCTTAAAGGTCTGCACGCCTGCAATGGCTACATTAAAGTTTCAGCGGCATAGACCCCAGATACCGGGTGTAAAGGTTTAAAGGACACGCCACGGACGGCCGTCACCGCAGCACGCCACACCAGACCAGTCCACCAATGTGCGCAACATCTATCAGCTGAATGCGCCCGCTTTGCCCAACACAGTCGTAAAACTGCAAGATCGGACATCGTGTCATGCCCGGAATGACATTACGTCATGCCACCGATGACATCATGTTATGCCAGGACCGACATCGTGTGACGCCAGGGATGACATCATGTCACGCCAGGGACGACATCATGATCATGTCATGCCAGGGACAGCATCGTGTCATCCCAAGTATGACACCCTGTCATTTTGTCTGTGACACCGCGCTGTGCAGCACTGATCATTTCGTCTGGGCAGCTTTGGCTGGTCCTTGACCCCTGGCATGGCATGATGTCATCGGTGGCATGACATGATGTCATCCCTGGCATGACGCGATGTCATCCCTGGAATGTCATGATGTTGCATGGCATGATGTCATCCCTGGCATGACATGATGCCTTCTCCGGCGTGACATGATGTCATCCCTGGCGTGACATGATGTCATCGCTGGCATGACATAATGTAATCCCTGGCATGACGTGATGTCGTCCCTGGCATGACATGATGTCGCATGGCATGATGTCATCCCGGGCATCCCTGGCGTGACATGATGTCATCCCTGGCATGACGCAAAAACGAGGCGCCGATCCAGAGCTTGCGCCTGCACCAGCGGTGCCAGCACCGGCCAAACAAAACGCCGATCAAGCACCAGCACCAGCACCAGCAAAACAAAACGCCGATCCAGCACCAGCATCAGCACGGCAGCAGCATCGGCAAGACCAAAAGGCTCATCCAGAGCCAGCACCTGCATCTGCATCAGCATGGCAGCAGCACCTGCAAAACCAAAGCGCCGATCCAGAGCCAGCGCCTGCACCGGCACGGCGGCAGCACCTACAAAATCGAAACGCCGATCCAGAGCAAAACCAAAACACCGATCCACAGCCAGCACCTGCACCTGCACCAGCATCAGCACGGCAGCAGCACCCGCAACCAAAACTCCGATCGAGAGCCACACCATTGAGAAGTTTGAGCCCCTATAGCCTGGAGCAGGAAATATGATAAGATATGGAGTTTTCCAACCTTGGTCTATTTGCTCCTGGCATTTTCGGTGTCCCCCATAGTCAGTGGCATTCAAACGTTTCTTGGACGAGCCGCTGTAGTAATAGGCTTCGCGCTGGCTTGCCTGATGCTTCTTTGTGGGGGGTGTTTTGTTGTATCCTTCCTCTTCCTTTAAGGTCTTGTCATCCAAAGTGATCCGGACTTGCACCAGTAGAGCACCCAACCAAAGGCCCATCCTCTTGGGATTCATCTCCAATGGTTGCAGAATTGTCTCTATGTAAATGACCATGAGACTGGTCACCAGCACAAAAATGCAAACGCAGCCAAGGAAATGGGAAGTGGGATCTTGAAACCGGTCCTTAGCTTGGTCAATCAAAAACCTGTGGCTGGCCTCAATAGCCAAGCAGGTCTCGCAAGCTGCCCCCTGACAAACGTTTGGTCGACCTTCTAGCATGTCTGCCCGCCAAAGGGATAGGGATGTACAACACAGCTACGTCCTTCCTGCCTTGTCCCAAAATGGGTCATTCCCGACGTGATTCTAGTGACCCGAAAAGCAAGACCCTTGGCCCATGGGGTTAGCCCAGCACTTCAGTGTCCTGTTTTTGCCGTTTCTGGGTTACTCCACCAAAAGGGTTGCAGAACTTGATTGTACAAGTAGACCTCATCCACTTGAATGCAAACTCCATCTTTGAATGCACAAAAACACACAATGTTCTTTTTTGAGTCACGCTCATCCAACTAAATCAATCCAAGTGTCCTCTGGTATTGGCTTCTTCAATTTCTTCTGGACTTCTTTCTCATCACAGATCAATCCAAATGAGCTAGACCAGGTTGGTTTGTTTCCCGGTGGGTAGCTCGCTGTTGTGGAGGCTGGAATGGTGGATGAAGAGGTCTCCATTTTAGCTGAGGTCGTAGCTGTGGATGCGAATTTTGTGGGTCTTGTGCTGTGCTGGTAGGAAGCGGTGTCGAGACTGGACCTTGCGGCCCACTCGGCCGTCTTCTCATCTGCGGCCCAATTGGGCACTGCGTTGCAATAGTCGAAATAGGCCCACAGCGTTGCCGAAACCAAGGAAAGACAGCCGATCACCTTGTACCAGGCACGCGGGTTAAAACGGTGATGGACGTCCCAAGTCAAAGTGTTCAACCCTAACAAGCCACATCTCCGAATGGAAAATGACTGTCTCTTCCAGGTGATGGCCAGTCTTGATCAGTCTTGCGTGGCAGTGGTTTCCACCACGCACAAGGGTTTGTCTATCAGCTGCACACAGAACATTTCATGTGGCCACAACACCCCCCCTCCAAAAAAAATGGTAAAAAGAGGGTACAAGTGCAAGCTAGGAGGATGCATTATTTTTGTGTTTTGGTGTAAATCAATGAACACATGGAAACTCGGCCTAGTACAAATTTCCAGTGGGTCAGTGGGTCGCTTTGTGTTCTTGCATATATATATATACTTCGAGGGGTGCAACTGCTGAACTTGGAAGACGGTCCATTTTTCG